TTATTTTAATCCTATCATTATCTATTTATTTTGATTAATTATCATATCATAAAAATCTTATTTTAACTTTTAAATTTTTAAAAAATAATATAAATAAATATATAAATAATTTTCAAATCCTTAATTTAAAAATAAATCAAAAAATAACATTTATTATAGGATATAGGGAATATTAATTAATAATTATAGTTATTAGTTATTTTTATTAATTAAATTACATAAAATCATTATTTTTAAAAATAATATTTTATAATTTTAATGGTCATAACATTATTATTTATGATCATAACTATTCTCAACCATTTTAAGAGAAATTAACTTTTAAATATTTATAAAAAAAAAGTTACTCTAATTTTATTATGTTAAGACTCAATTAATAATTTTTTTACTAATTTATTTTATATTACTTAAAAGATGTTAATTTTTGTAAAACTAAAGGTGTTAATTTTTGTAAAACTAATCCCCTCTCCCCAAATTTCCCATAAAAGAAGAAGAAGAAGAAGAAGAAGAAGAAGATACTTGATATGTTCTGTTTTTGTGGTGCTGCAGTCAAAGTACAAATTTGCGAACTTTTATTTAAATACTATTTAAGGTACTTATTTGGTTGGACCAGAAAAAAGATGCTTATTGCACTTGTACTCTGACTTTTAATGTCTATCAACTAGGAAAAAAAAGGAGATGTTATTTAATTTCTGAATAAAGTACAAAATGAAAGTAAACTTTCAGTGTCATTATAGCATCACTGTCGTGACCCCGAAATATCAATTGGTTGGCGAAAAAATGCATTAAGGTAATAAATATTTATATTGTTTAGATTGGCTAGAAAAAAGATTAATAAATTATTAGTAGGTCATTAGGTGAGAGATCATACTAGGTAAACTAAACACCCTCCAACCCAAACCAATCAAGGCGGATCCAAATATTGAAAAATCTGTAATATATACTATTGCTATGATATTATATTAAAATTGTAAATTTTCAATCATAAATATTTATGTTATTGAATAAATAAATA